CTCTCTCTCTCTCTCTCTCTCTCTCTCTCTCTCTCTCTCTCTCTCTCTCTCTCTCTCTCTCTCTCTCTCTCTCTCTCTCTCTCTACATGGGCCTAACCCACCCGCTACTTTAGCGTTTTTTCAACTACGCGGGCCTAGCCCACCGCTACACCCCGCTGCAATCCACAGAGTCACGGCCACAGGTAAGTACCACGCTTAAGGGCCTTCCAAACATAACAGACAAGTACCCTGGCAGGCCACACACCCCCAAGCAATGACGCACTCAGACAAGCACGCCCCACACACAGACTTAGAAATCTCAGCAGCAAGCGTGAATCTCAGCAGCAAGTCACACGTTCCAGCGGGAAACCTCAGAAATCAGCACAGTTCTCAGCCTGTGACTTTTTGCAGATAATTACAGACAACTCCCCACCTGAATTTTTTTGGTTGAGCTGGGGGTTTAGACCGTCGTGAGGCGGGTTAGTTTTATCCTACCGATGCACCGTTGTCCCAATGGTAATCCACCCCAGTACGAGAGGAACCGTTGGTTCCCACAATTGGCAATTGCGCTGGGCTGAAAAGCCAGCGGTGCAAAGAAACCGTGCGTCGGATTATGACTGAACACCTCTAAAGGCTCTAAGTCAGAATCTGTGCTTGCAGTGACGGGGTCTGCCTCCTTGGATGACACATGACTGTTGATAGGGCCAGCCCGTCTGGCGCCGAAAGCATAAGTTCGGAGTTGTCCCTCCTGCGGCGGAGCACCGACGCCCTGGGGGTCTCTTCATCGCAATTTCTTTCGCTCGAGGAGTCAAAAAACCCTTTGCAGACGACAACTTACTGTAGTAGGTAACGAACCAAAAAGCACTAAAGGTGGATGATAATTTTTTGCAGAAGTGGAACGAATATTGTTTTTTCTTAATTGTAAAAATGAAAATCCAGTTAGACAGGGAACGGGGTGTTGTAAGCAGTAGAGTGTTTTTTTTGTTTTCTTAAGGGGCGTAGCCCCTCAGATTTCTATACCGCGAGAGCAAACAAGATATCCATCTTACATTGACCTACGTAGTTTTTTTCCCCGGACTGATCGAAGACCCAGCCATACGGACACCCAGACACATCCAGAGCCAGCAGACATGAGCTCAGGCCAGGGGCCCCCCTGTACGGTACACGAAACAAACGTGACGTGAAGTTCGCACGCCCTCATGAACTAGTTCACGATTGAGAAATTTTCGTTTTTGCGCTTGCCAAGTGCGAAACACGAAACTGGGATGAACGAGCACAACAGACGTGGACAAAACGACAAACCCCCAATTTCTCCTTTTCCCCCCCCACCTTGGCTACATTCAGCAAACTCGTGCAGCACCCTCGAAACTCGCAAAATGTGGAGGCAGGAGGTCGCTTTGACACCTCACGACTGTGAAAACGCTACGTCCCTGACACCTTACGCCTTTGTGTTTGGTGCCACGGTCGCGTAAGGGCCATGCGGCAATGGCGAAACGGATGGCTTGTGCACGAAATCATTATTATTTACCTTGAGTGTCAGTGTTGTCCTGTAATCCCACCCTTTTCCCTCTGTGTCGCGCAGGTTGAGAGTGTACTTGCCACTTGGCAGGCACGTCTCCATGGTGTTATTGCTGAAATCCTTGTACCCGGACCCCCATGCAACCACGGTATAGGTCTCATCTGTGATCCACCACGAGTCGTCTCCAGCGTTTGCACCTGCATTGAAGCAGATGGTGATCGGTACGCCACCACAGCCATCTGCATCACCCATCTCCTGTTGCAACATTCGCTGACGATGAAGCTGATGAGCAGCGGACATCATTGGCAACACTGCCGCAACAGCAAACAACAGTTCAAGACAGCAAGTCGACTGACAAGTCAGATCAGATGTCAGGTGGCAGATGTTAGCAAGCAGCCAGGGAAGGCCAAATTGTAGGGTTTAGGGTTTAGGGTTTATGGGGTCTAAAAAACTTGCTTTACCTGTGGTGTTATTATGCAAATGCATAGCCACATAACTTCTACACCTGCCAGTCTGGCAGCACCCCAGAGGTTGACAATGAGGCAGACTGTGCTCCCTCTCTCTCTCTCTCTCTCTCTCTCTCTCTCTCTCTCTCTCTCTCTCTCTCTCTCTCTCTCTCTCTCTCTCTCTCTC